GTAGGGAAACAGACCCATCTCTGTGGTTTTCATTGTAGAACATCCGGTCTTTAAGGTACACTTCAGGCTTATTTTTCAGGTGTTACTTCTGTTGACGTTTCCCTTTTCCTTTGCTGACATTTTAAACAAACTTTAACAGGTGTGCTTTGGAAACACTTGGACGATAGCAGTCCCTTGACTATTCGATATGCAACTTGCAGCGTGATTGCATAATCTTTTAAAAAGAAAGAACCGAAAGCCAGAAAAGAAACGTCTGTACTTGCTCTGTATGTAACAGCAAAATAACAATGAGGGGGAGAAAAAGAAAAAGGATGCACTAGATCAATAAACACTAGGAAATAAGACATACTTGAAATAAGTAGTGTCTGAATGAAATAGTTTTTTCTTGTTTTTTTTGTTGTTGTTTTTTTTTTTTGGTGTCTTTATGATGTCGTTATAGTGCCAGGATTGTCATAAAATTGTGAACAGCACGAAAGCATTTCTATTCAGGTTATTTTATCAAATTTTATGTCCAATTTGCACTTCATATAAGAGAGAGAAGCTTGGAATGGTACCATATCCGCACACCCAAAATAGGAATCCTAATTCTAGAACATTTCTTACAAAGGACGTAGAGCTGGTTATTTGTATGTTTTGTTTGTTTTGAATGTCATTGGTCTTATGCTATGCTCCAAAAGATAATACCACTATTTCCCAAAGTGTTCAGACATCTGGGTAACAAGCAAGGAGTCAGTTTTCGAGATGTTTCGGTCTCCTGGGAGCTAAGCGCCCAAGCTGTCGCATTATTTGAGGAGCAGAGGGAAAGCCATGTTTTTCTTTCTTCAGTTTTTGGATTTATTGTTACTCATTTCAGGAATTTCTGTAAGTGTAATGCCTTGCATGCTAAACAAGATCAGACAGAAGGTGAGGGAGAATGGGGCAGGACGAGGAGGGCTGCTGATGATTTTATGAGGAGTTACTGACACAGTTTTGCCATTTGGAGATAGGATGCTTGAGTTTGATGGAAATGGGCTTGCATTCTGTCCCAGAATGTGTTTCAAGAGATAACTGTGCTCTTCTACCTTTTGTGTTTCTGCTCCCACGAGTGGCAAAACCACACGTACAGACATTTCGATGAAGTGGCCCAGCTCCTGCGATCATGCAGCCTCAGTGTCATTTCAGGCCGTTGTAATGGTTTGTGTTCCTCTTTTTAAAGATAATGGGAAATTCATCCGAGTTCCAGAAAGCAGTCAAGTTAGTGATCAACACAGTGTCATTTGACAAAGATTCCACCGTCCAAGTCTTTGAGGCCACGATAAGGTAAAATAGTACATCAAACGGATTGAAGGCTGCTTTTGGGTGTGTAAGGAGAAAACTCCTGGAGGGTCCACCAGCCCCGGGGTCCAGGTAGGGAGTCCGTGCAGACCTTGTGGGCACTGTGTCCCTTTTTCATCTGCTTTGGATTGGTCAACACGGAAACAACTGTCATTTCAAAGTAATTATATTTGGGGCCAAATAGAAAGACACATTGTAATACAGGTTTAAGATAGATGTCCCTTTAAAGGAGTTTTTCATTATTTCACTTTACGTCTAGTCTCATTTCCGCCACTGTGTCCTAGGAAAACCCCTATGTATTTCTGAAGGAATCATAGTTTCTCCTGTCACCCACCACCTGCAGAAAACCACTGCTGACCATTTGGGTCTCCCTCTCCCTCCCTCTAATGTACTGGGCTCATGTTTTATATCTTGCCTTTTTAGTTTGATAGATTGCGACTGCTTTCCTATTCCATTTAAACTTTGAAAGTTGTATCACTGCATAACATTCCAGATGTAGAGTTTATTTAAAATTAAAGTTATGAAAAAACATTTGTTCTGAAAAATGTCACAATCTGCTTCACCTCACTGGAGGGGGACCTGAACTCGTGGCTGCTGAGGGACTGAGATCTAAGCTGGTGGCGCCTGCCTCTCAGTCGGGTCATTCTCTCCGTCTCCTTCTCTTCCCCACCTGGCCTGTTTAGCAGAAGTTGGAGAATTTGACGTTGCTTGGCAGCCAGAACTACAAAAGTTACTTAGTGTTTGTTGTCTTGCTCTTTTCTGTTTCTTATTTTGCTAAGTTTTTCCCCATGTGAGAGAAACCAAGAGTAGTTTATTAATACTAAAAGGTGATATTTATTCTGGGAATGATTAGGACACTCCCTTCTGATGAGATGATGAAAATGACTACTTCAAGTGGGATTATTCTCAGTAGCCTCAGAAGAATGGTTCGCTTTCTCCCTTCCCATAATGCTGTTAGCTAACAATTGATCGTTTACTATCACGGCTGGAAAGAACGTCAGGGGGTCATTAAGTCCAGTCCCTCTGATTTCAGGCAGTGCTAAGTCCATAGGGAATTCAAGCCTGCTTCTGTCATTCTGAGCTGGATTGTACACATTTACAACCAACGTGATTTTATTCTTCTTTCGTTCTTCCTGTCATTAGGGTCCTGGGAAGCCTTCTTTCTGCCCACAGAATAATAACTGACTCCAGGCAGCCCTTTGGTGACATGACGATTAAGGATTATGATAATGAGTTGTTGCATATGGCTCACGACCTGGCCGTGCGGCTCCTCCCTGCCTTTGAAAACACCAGGACAGGGATCCCCTACCCTCGGGTAGGTAGACGGCGTCAACAACTCACCACCTTCCCGAATTAAAACTCTTTGTTGATGAATTTATTTGCGGGAAAGAGCGGGGCTGATACGGAAGAGGAAAGCCATGTCCTTGAGAGAATTTGGCCCTAAATATGATAGAAATGGTTTTTAAAATTCATTCAGCATTTACTGAACACCTGTAGTGTGCTGGGCATACAGTGACATTTTTTTTTTTTTTTTTTTTTTT